AGAATATGATATGTGAGGGGTACAAGTGGAAAGTGGGGGATGGAAAGTTCATTAAAATTTGGGAAGAGTCGTGGTTGCCTGATGCAAGTAATTCGAGAATTTCTTCTAAGGTTTATGCGGGACTGGAAGATAATGCTGTTGAAGGTTTGATTGCCTGTCAGGTTAAAGTCTGAGATGATGATATTGTCACGCCCCGGACCTACCCGGACACGTCAACAACCCGCCGTACAGTACGAATAGTCAACCGCAGTCCGACTCATCCACACTATACAAGGCGTCTTGAATACCATTCACACATATTACATCCACAAACAAACATAATGTAAAATAAACATTTATAGCAGCGGAAACTTTTAACATAAGTGTTTATGCCACACCTTGGCAAACATGGGCGTACAAGCCCCCAAATAATTATTCAAAAAACAATATCCATGAGCATTATTTAAGTTGTTTTCAAAACAGAAACGGAAAAAGCACGAACCACGTCTTCTTCCTTTGATCTTCCCGAAGCAACGGGCGGTGGCAACAACCTTCAAGTTCTACCTGAAACTGTGAGGTGGCCTCCCCCGTGAAGGGGAGGTCAGTACTTGGAAATATTTGACAAGTACAATAGCAACTATACTAAGTATAATTGACGTTTCAATTTCTAAGACCCTCAACTTAGGGTACTATTATATTATAGGCCATAACCCTCGGTTACCCCTTTTTCTCTTAACTGTACTTACTTTATATGAAGTCAAGTAGTCGGCCCGTGGGCCCATATTCATTTAGAATTCATCATTTCCATTCCCCCGTGATCGCAAGTCACGATAACCTCGTGGGGTCCCATCGAGCCCCAATTGTATAGCATGGACTCGGCCCAACTACATTTCTATACAATCCTCTAACTCAATATAACATATCAAAATTTGTATGGCAAGGGCTCGGCCCAACTACGTTTCCATACCAACCATAACTTCGTGGCAAGGGCTCGGCCCAACTACGTTTCCACGGAGATCACATATACATGGCAAGGGCTCGGCCCAACTACGTTTCCATGCTAATCATATTACATGGCATGGGCTCGGCCCAACTACATCTCCATGTCATCCTAGAGTCCAACTCTAATTATTTTCCTAATCGAATTCTCAAGCAAATCCTATGTCTAGAATCAATTCCCGTAGGTAGCCTTTAGGCCTACCCCTATCACACCTTAGTGTTCATACCATTTAACCTTGAAGTATCTCTTGAGACTACTTAAGGCATATCTATTCACAATCCTACCTCTTAGGATTTGTTTCATCATTTATTTATATTAATTTCCCCGACTAGTATTTTGATACTAATTGGATAGTCCTAGAACATGCCAAGTTCCTATCTTCCAATTGGCATTTCATTTCAATTGATTTCCCAACACAAGTATAGTTTGATCTCAATATCAAAATATCACTTTAATCCATTCATGAATTTCATACATGACGTAAAGTATATTTTATCACAATATCATCATAGTAATTCCATTAACATGTCGTTCCATTCATTTCACATAATCATACACAATTATTCTAAATTTGTATATCATGCTTCACTTGCTCATATCAATATTATTTTCATTTAGGCATTATTAATCATTAATAATCCATGAAAATCCCATCTAATTACTTTAGGCAATCTTATGAAATTAACTCACTAATTATAAGCAATATAGTCAGCCATCCTCACCTTATGAAGTGTTGAAATAGTTGCCTTTGCTAAGCTCCTCGATCAATCCCCGTTCTAGGCCGATTGGAAAATTTGACTGCTGGGCAAAAGTCGGGCGGCTTTCACGAAAGCCGGGCGGCTTTCGTGGTCTGCAACTACGACTAGCTCCCTTGAAGTGGCGGTTTCCGGTGATTTCGACTCCTATCGATTTGCCAACCCTTCTAAGTTAATTACCACCACTTTATATCTATATTCTACACTTTTAAACGTGTAGAACTCGTGGTTTAATCCACCATATGATTTCTTAAAAATCATACAACATAAACTAGTTAAAAACGGTACCACACCTATTTTTTGCATGTGATTTTGCAGGGCAGGTTCGGAAAAACATCAAAGATTGGCTTGAAATTGCGAGGAGGATATCAACATTGAGAAGTGCGGTGAAATGGCTCCAAAGAGAATGCAAAGGAGCACATATCCGAGCAAAGACCACAAGGATAGCGTTTAGCTACACAATCTATTGGATATGGAGGACCCGAAATGCAATTCGTTTTGAAGGAGCAACTCCAAAGATGGATGACATAGTTGCACATATCAAATATATGGTGTACAAAGTGCTCTACTCACTATACCCGTACCATATGATCCCTTTTTGAACTATAAACAAGCCTGTTTTTTGTCATGAGGAGATGGCTGTTTCTTTTGCTAGTTGATGGACTTTAGATGATAAGCTTTCATAGCTTTTGATGGATAGGGTATCCTTACTTGGATACGCCTCAAATTTTGCACATATGATGTACATAACTCTGGTTACTATATATATATTTACATGTTCCCCCCCCCCCCCCCCCCCCAAAAAAAAGAAATGCTCAATGAGTTCTTACCCAACTCCTAGCTCTCCCCTCTTGGATTCTCCTCCCTCTTTGCTTCCCTTGGGCTGGAGCTTTGTGGAGATTTTTCCCAGAGCTTATCTCCCTGTGGTTGAGTTGTGAGGATGGTACAGGTGTGGTAGGGGATGCTCCTCAATCAACCACAATATAATTGTGGAAGATATGACTTGGGGGTATGAGTTTTGTCTCAATTGAGACTTCCCACCTAATATGCACGCCCCTAGCTGCCTCTTTGGTCCTTTGTAAAACATAAAATCGTGGGGTGGCCCCCACTCATGTGGGAGGTCATCCCATTATGCCCCGATGTGTATAATCGGCCCCGAAAGTTGTATTTCTCGGCCCATTTTAATCATATTTTATTTTATCGGACCGGATAAAATATATCACGCGTTCCCAATAATTATGAGCCTTTAGAATAGATGTACATTCCCCAACATTAATTTAGGAGTCTCCGAAACTCATTTCGGGCTGTTATCCGCTAAATTACCAATACCGTTAATTGGGCTCCGTTTGACCAACCGGTCAACTCCATGCCTTTCTTATGGCCCAAATAAAATATCCACCACAATATAGATGTCATCTAGACCAAGATGAATATAATATGTGGTTCGGGAATTATCGAGCGACCCCCCCGGTCCGGGCGTGGGCCCCACATGCAATTTACTATTCACGTAAAAGAATTAATAAAAATTTACATTTACGCAATTTCATAAATCATCCTTCAAGGTTTATTACATAATTTACTAAAAGTAAATATGCTTGGGGACGGTGCTACAGATATTCTTGGGGATCTATTTAATGATAGAGATAAGACCTTGATTGGAAGTATTCCGTTAAGCTTGCGAGCGGTGCCAAACAGAAAGGTGTGGCGGTGGGAGGCTAATGGCAGGTTCTCGGTCCGTAGTTGTTACCGTCATTTAACGGGCGAATTCTAGTCTGAAATTTGGGTAGGATGGACGGAGATATGGAATTGGAAGCTGCCGCAAAAAATTAAATCATTTTTTGGCAACTTTGTTCGAATTATTTGCCCACTACAAAGAACCTGCGTAGACGGGTGGTGAATTGTCCGGAGATATGTGTATTGTGTGGCATGGATGATGAGTCAGATTTGCACCTATTTGTTCGCTGCCCGGTGGCGGTGGAAGGCTGGGAATCATTGGGTTGGGATTTGAGGTGTATGGCGGCAACGAGTTTTTTACACTGTCTTGAGGGAGCTTTCAAGGTGAAGAAGATACACGGTCTGGAGAAGGTTGTTTGGGGTTGCTGGGGCTTGTGGGGGGAGAGGTTTGGATGGGTTTGACAAAGTAAAAGTTTGAATGTTGCTTGGGTTATGAGAAAAGCAAGAAGTTTTGTTGAAGATTGGTTACATGTGCAACAAAAAGATCAAGTTGGGGCGAAGCATTTGAGTGCCCAGGGATGGTGTGTACTGAAGCCAGGTTGGTGCAATCTGAATGTGGATGCAGCTCAAAATCATATTGGCAACCAGTTTGGTTGGGTTGTTCACAATAATAGTGGGGACCTTGTTGGGGGAGGAATCAAGAGGGGTTGAGGAAGTTGCTCTCCCCTCGAAGCGGAATTATCAAGTATTTGAGAAGCTCTGAGAAGATCAAGGATAAGACTTTGTGGAAGTTGAATCGGATGCTTTACTTGAAATTTCTGAAATTGAAAGTGGTTCTAGCCTTACGATTGGTATTCTAGCTTAAAATATTAGACTTATTAGTATCAATTTTACTGATATTGCCTTTTCTTTTGTTAAAATGATCAGAGAACACAGTTGTTCACGCATTGGCTAAAACAGCTAGTTCTATGTCTTATTGTCTTAGTTGGTTGGGTATTCCACCTACTTGTATTGTTGAGGCTTTGGCATTTGATTTGATTAATGCTAATTAAGTTGATTTTCCTAAAAAACGAAACATAGGATTTCGTAAGCTGATTAACAACAAAAACCATGATCACTGTAGGAGAAGTCGCTGGAGGACAAGTCGTCAGAGTAGAAGACACTAACGGCTGGAACAAAAGAGAAGAGAAAATCGAAGCTTTGTCCTTTAAGATTTGCGCTAATCTGATAGACTAGAGTTGGATATTAAGGGGACAAAGAGGATGCTTACTTTGCAATCCACGGTGTACCACAAAAAGGCTTAATAATTGCCAACTCAGCGTTTTAAACACCTGTGTTGGGTGAATTAAATTGGTAGATTCTATGGTACCCATAAGGTACTATACTTTTGTCCACATGGACCAATGAAAATGTAGCAGTTGAATTATTTAAATCTAAATTAAAAATGATAAAGTAATGTGGTCCAATCAAATGAATGATAGGTACGATACCTTATTTTTTTATAAAGATATCGGAGTTGTCACCAACTAAATTAGCATTAATTTTCTAAGTTAAGTACCTCTGTGTCACACATACGATTAGTCAATTATGTATACTCTTTGCTCCCACTCACCGTTCTTACTTCTTACCTGCTAAAGACCGAACCGGTCGGCTCTATTAAATCATGCAAACGCCTCCTCACGTCGGAGTCTGAAGACCAACTGATCGGAAGTCAATTAATTCACCGTGAGGAGATAAGATGTATTGCTGGATTCGAGCCTCTCCTTCCAATTGCGGTGGGGTTCTCCCCCAACCTCGGAGGTAAACATGTAGGATTTGCGTTTCCAATTTCATCTTTATCCGTTTAAATTTACGCATTGCTCTTCTTTCTGAGGAATCTGAACTTTTGCCTTTTGAAGTGGGCACACCGCAGTGAACATCGGAAACTCAAAGGTGGTGGTGTTTGGAGGGCTAGCAGACAAGACATTCCTCAGCGACATTGCGGTTTATGACATTGGTACAATTGCACCCCATTTAACATCTCTTAGTTTCTTTTTTTGTTCATGTGGACTTCTAAGGTACTGTAATTCAAATGGACTAACAATGGATTATATCAAACAAGTTTGTGCTTAAGGCGCCCTACCTGTGGCAATCCCTTACAAAAACATAGCAGTTGCCCTTACAAAAACATAGCAGTTGCCCAAACTTCACAGCACAATCACGAACTTCTTTTTTCTTTGGGTTATTTCTAGGGGCATTTTTTTATCATCACCGTTTTTCTCTACAGTGCAATACTACTATGTCAACTGTACTACCTGTAGTGCCTCTGTTATGTTGTCCATTCACGCCCATTTTGTAGTTCAGGCTTAAGAAAATCGATGCTCATTGTTGAGTTTGCATCAGATTGAATTTTCAGAAGGGGGTATTATAAGATTATCAAGTATTTTTCTACCCTTAAATGCCCTTAATTTGTTCTTCTTTTAATAAATCTTGAAATAGAAGTGTTCAGCATTATGTCTATATACACCTTATCTTTAGTGCACTTGGAGCCTTCAGTAGTTGCTGTGTAGAATGTAACACACTCAATACTCCTGTATCCAAAGGTTTTGACTTTCAAAATAACACACGCTTATAATATCTCTCACTCTCTTGGCTACTAGAGTGGTGTGGTTGGCTCCTAAATTGTATTATTTTTGCTGAAAAGGGACTTATAATGAGCGTGGTGAGCACCTTCATTGAAGTAAAGGATGCCTCGCAATTGTCTTCTCTTGTGCTTTTCTGGTGGTTAAGTTCTCTTTAGGTCCTAAATTCTGGAGTTTCTTATTTTTCAGAGAACAAATTATGGTTTCAGCCAGAGTGCTATGGCAGTGATTCTGATGGTCGAGTGGGACCATGCCCACGAGCATTTCACGTTTCTATTGCAATTGACTGTCACATGTTCATTTTTGGTGGGAGGTCTGGCAGTAAAAGGTTTGTGGCAACTAGAAACCTATATATCTCAATTGTTAACTAAAGGTAATCATTCTAGATTATATGAATGTTACTAATTGGTTAAGGCTTCTTTCACTTGCAGGTTAGGAGACTTTTGGGTCCTGGATACTGGTATAGATAAATTCTTATAAAAAATTCTAATCTGACAAGCTTCAATTTTTTTTTACTCAAAGAAAGTAATCTTGGTGCTAAGCGTATCAACTCCAAATTTATTGCTCATGAGATGCTCTTTTGCTTAAAAGTCTGGCGCTTGAATCATTTTTGTATTTTATGTTTAAATTCTAGATATCTGGCAATGGTCAGAACTTACAAGTTTAGGTGACTTGCCCTCGGCAAGAGATTTTGCAGCTGCTTCAGCCATTGGGAACAGTAAAATTGTATTGTAAGCTTCAACTATCCAGTGCTTATTTGTTTTTTATTTCATTCTAGAAGGCTTATTATGCTTTAAACGGAGTGCAGGTATGGTGGCTGGGATGGTAAAAAGTGGTTGTCTGATGTATATATTCTGGACACAAGTACTCGCATTGCATCTATTATCTATAGTTTTTTAGTTTTTGAAACTAAAATAGTATTCTCTATGTAACAAATTCACATTTTGAATGATGTTGGTGTAAGCAGTTTCTCTTGAGTGGAAAGAGTTGTCTGTTTCAGGACCTTTACCTTCCCCGAGATGTGGCCATTCTGCTACCATGGTTGAGAAAAGGTTGCTTGTCTATGGTGGTAGAGGTAATATAAGATCCGTTGGAGTACACATACACCATTTCATTATTCATTCTTCTGGTGAAATTCTGCTTTAGTGGAATGGTGCTGCTTCTGCTTTATAATATATTTATTTTACTGATGTGGAAAATATAATTAGCATATCCACACATATGAATATATGCAACTAATGATTGATAATGTCCTCACAAAAGTTGATGTACCCAACAGTTGTCTCATTTTCAACTTTCAAGTGTTCATTCATGGTTTAAAAAGTTGGTTCACGAAGAAGTAATGGAGGCTTAGGTGTGTAGAGTAATGAGATATTGTGGGTTCAGCAGGTGGCAAATAGTCACCACCCACCAGTTAGCGTTAGCAAATAAAAAGAGTTAAGTAGTTAACACAATATATTGAATATGTAAGAAATGTAATACAATAGAATTGATAGACCATGGTGATGAGCTATGGTTTCCTATACTTCACCAAGGTGATTGGAAGTACTAATTTGATTCATGTTCTATCATTCTGTCACTTTATAAGCATAACCGTTACTTCATTTCAGTTTTTGACATTTTGTTTGATTGTTATAACTCTTTACATAGTCTTTCATTTGAAAGAATAAAACAAAGCTTTGGTCCTAAAGCTTCACCCCCTTCACTGTGCCCTCTGTAACTCTATTATCCCGGCTCTTTCCACCCTTCTTGTCTGTTTCTCGACATGGATGGAAGAACCCACTATCCTTCCATCCTCTTCGGCAATTGACAGCTGACACAAGTGCTTGTGTGGGAACATAATTACATAACTGTCTTCTTAAACAAAATATTTAGCATTATCTAAGACGTTGGCTGAAAGCTTTGTTTATTAAGGATGTTTTTACTTGGACTGTGATTTGCTGGTCTGGTCTGGTCTGGTCTATTTAAGTTTGGTCTGGTCTGTTTAGGTCTGTTCTGGTCTGGTCTGTCAAACATCTGGTCTGTGTATTTTATAACTAAGGAAGTCAAGTCTGGTCTGGTCTGCGACTGAAAACAGTCCAAGTAAAAACATACTAAGTCATTATCTAATTGGCTGTACAGTAAATACTTTGATCATAAATGCTCCCTGAATTTTGAACTTTCGCTAGGACCTTCTGGTGGGTTTTTCTGTTATATATTTTTGGGAAAACTGTCAATTTGCTCCTCGTACTATCACGAAATCGTCAATTAAGTCCTCGTCTTTTAAAAATATCAATCAAATCCCCAAACTTTGAAAAATATTTCAATTAAGTCAATTAGCAGGTATCTTCCACGTCAGCAAGTCACCTGCTGATGTGGCACACATGTGGCAGCCCAGTCAGTAGTGACTTTGCTGACGTGCAGACGTGGAATCCCAATCATCCATTTTCCGACGACGTGGCGCACATGTGGTCTGCCACATGTGCGCCACGTCAGCGGGTGACCTGCTGACATGGCCATTAACCTGCTAAATGACTTAATTGGTTTTTTTTTCAAAGTTCAGGGATTTGATTGTTTTTTTTTAAAAGTACGAGGACTTGATTGACGTTTTCGTGATAGTACGAGGACCAAATTGACAGTTTTCCCTATATTGTTTCTTTTTCGTATATATTAACATTTTCTCAAGATTATCGTATGAGGTTTGAATTTATTGCAGTGACTTTATTTACTATGGGCAGGAGGGGGAGGGCCAATCATGGGTGATTTATGGGCTCTGAAGGGCCTAATTGAAGGAGGTAATGACATTTCTATAATGTATCCATCGTTAATACAGTTGACTCACATGAATTTGTGATAAAGGAATTGCAGTTTTTTCTTATGAGTTTATATATGTTAGTGGAACATCAGTATTCGCTATTCACTTAATTGGTGAGCCAGCATGTTCCTGCACTAGATTCTGAAGGTAATGATGACTACCCACGTTCCACACCCTGTGAAAAAAGCAGATGCAATTCAAGAGTCCCGAAGGACATGACTTTATTATTCTATTCTTTTTATAGACCCTAAACTCCTAAAGCTATCATTATTCATCTTTGTCTGTCATCATCACTGAATTCCAAACTATGTTGGGGACATTGACATGAAATCTCTAGTTTCAATTAATTATTTGAATTTTGAAATTAGTTAGCACTATAATTTCATGCAAAAAAAGAAATTACAAAAACACTGGATTCCGTTGTTACAATCTTCTAAAGAAGAAAACCCTCCATCATCATAGGTTTTATCCCCATGCCTTAACTCACATTGCTGGCACATTTATTTTCTGTTCTGAGAATTTGCTGTTTTTTTGTATATGTTCATACATTGTGGAGGGAAGAGAACGAAAGTCCTGGATGGACCCAATTGAAGCTTCCAGGTCAAGCTCCATCACCTCGTTGTGGGCATACTGTTTCATCTGGAGGGCATAAAGTAACTACATTTTGATTCACTCTAGTTTTACACTGGATCTAATCAGGCTAAAGTCTCATAACATCTGATTGAGTGATCAGTGGATTAAGGACAATAACAATGAGCCTGTGCAATGTACTATGATGGTTTTTGTGAATTGTGTGCAGGTTAAATAGAAAAACACTTTAACATCAACCTGCACATTATTGTTGCATGAGCTTGCAGTACATTATAAAGAACATGTTATAAGAATAAGTTGTGTATATCTGGAGTGTTGTAGAACATATATTCTCAATTAAGTCAAAGTGCTTTTCACTTTGTGGTCAGTGCATTGCATACCCTTTAAGGCTTCAAGTTTTATTGCTCCGTGGTTTGTGATTTGTAGGTGTCTAAACTTTATGTCAAGTCAATTGGTCGAGCTTTATACATTGTTCTTATTCGCTTAATTTCTTATGTTAATATCTGGCCAATTTCAACATGATTGATTTGGTTATTTGAGTAGATTTGTAGAGTATATGCCATGCCTATTAGTTCGAGCCGATAGTTTTTTTGTGATTAATTGTCTTGTAATAATTCTTTATTGATTAATAGTTAAAGTACATACTCATTCTTGACGCCATACAGAATAGTCCTAATTTTGCCTAGAACGATCCTCAATATTAATTGACTAACTAAATCACAAATATTAGGAATTAAGAGTTAGTAACATGATAATCTTAATTGGACTATCTTTTATCTTGCTAAATTCTCAATTGTTGTTGTGTTAGTTGTTTAATCACCTTATTTTTCACTCCGTTAAATTCCTTGCATTAGATTTAAGTCAAGCTTTAATTTGCTCTTTCATGTTTAAATCAAAACATTCTCAAAACTCTCCTTTAGTTAAATTAATTTCATTTTATAATTATTTTACTATATTTCATTTACCTGGTTTTCATTTACCTGGTTACATTTCACTCATGGGCTCGACCCTTATTTGAACACTATGCTATCATGATTCGTGCACATACGAGGACTTATAAATTATCTTTCACGTGTAAAAAATAGGGAGTATAAACATATCCTTCATGATCCTTTAAAAAACGTATCCTTCATGATTTACCTACCTATGTCACATTGACCTTACTAAACTATTCATAATAAACTTGCTCATAATGCTTGTCACACCCCGTTCATTGAACCCACTTTCTCAACTTGATCTCCACATACCCATTCATTGGACTATGCTAGATTTGGGATGATCTTTTTAATTAAGGGGTAGAGGAACTAAAGTGATTTTAGTTTTGCTCTTCTTTTTGTGTTTTAGCTATAATTATTGCTTATTCCCATTCTCTTTCTTGTAATACTTAAATATTTTCAAATATATTCTTCATGCAGCTTTTGTTATTCGGAGGCCATGGAACAGGTGGTTGGTTGAGTCGTTATGACATTTATTACAATGACTGTGTTGTTCTGGACAGGGGTAATTTTTCTTTTTAGACATTTTTCCCATTTTAAATTATAATGATGGTATTCCTGCCAAACTTACTTTTGGTAAAGATGCAGACACGCAGTTGATAGAGCTTGGAAAATCCATCTAGGTTTCCCGCTAGTTTAGGTTTTATAAAATTGAAGTAGAAAAAAGACATTCATAGGTGAAATGTAGTGTGAATAAGTGTGTGACAAAAATCATCGGGCAACAATAAAAACAATAAAGGGCATACAAAGCATTATTTATATAGCTACATGAAAAGGACACTACATAAAAGAAGTAGCCAACATGGACACATTGTACCTCTAAACAATAGGGCCAAGAGAGCACCCCAAACACCCGGGTGCGGTTGGTTTAAAAGCCTGTAGGTAATCTGATACCATAAAACATCAAATTTCGGGGTTTAATCCTAGTTTGATCTTTAGATTGTTAATGCTATAAATTATAGTTGCATATGTATTGGCTCAGAAGTTCCCTGAGCAAGATTTTATTTCTAGTCTAGCTGTTTAAGCATTGTTAGAATGATTTGTGTTTACTGTCAATGCCTATAATTTGCATGAAGTAATTCAGCTTGAATACTACTTAGTAAGGTTAAATCTTAGAATTATTATGGAGTTCTTGCATTGACTTTTTATGTGAATGTGGGTATATAGTGTCTGTACAATGGAGACGCCTACCAACGAACCATGAACCCCCTGATGCTCGAGCATACCATTCAATGACGTCCATTGGATCACGTTTTTTATTATTTGGTGGTTTTGATGGAAAAACAACTTTTGGTGATTTATGGTGGTTAGTTCCAGAAGGTACTGTTCACTTTACAAGTGGTGTGATTGTCTGCAAAACTATATGCGCTTCTCTCTTCTTCTCCAAAGCTACAAATATAATATACTCATAATTTATCTTTTTTTTGAATTATGCATTCCTCGGTATCATATAAAGTATATGCTTGAAGGCTTGAAGCAGTCTCGTTCCTGATATTACTTCTAGTGTTAGTGACATGTGATTATGTGATGCTTTAATGTCTTCCATAGTTAACTGCTTGTCCCATGGTTTCTCGTAGAAACTTCTTGTGCTGCCATGTTCCTCTCAGTCCATTTTCTCCGATCCGAAAATTCCAATTTTATAACAGATTCACGCTATGAAGTTCAATATATTGGAGTATAGGACAAGAACACATGATGTTAAAATTGTTTATCTTACCTCATATTTCTAGACCTTTTATAGTCTTTTAGAGTAAGCCAGATGATCTCCATTAGTAGTTAAGATACCTGTTAAACATGTTTGTCAACCTAACAACATACAAAATTGAGTTAAAGAGCCTATTTAGTGGCCAAGTGTGGCTTATTCTACTTATCAGCAGAATAAGTACCTTTGGACTTACTTATTTGGCTGAAATAGATTTCGCCATTTATCTTCGTTTCAGAAAATTGCCATATCAGCCTAATAACTATCACCAAATTATTATTATTCTTATTTTTTCATCCGCTTCATAACTTTTTTCTGGGGTATTATATTGCTGGAATGATTGTAGGTCAGCGTACAAGTAATTTGTTTTATTGTACGTGAGTTGAAAAGATGCCCATTGAAACATCAAACGATCCCTAGTTAACAGTTTAGGCATATCTCGGGGAAAAGTGCACTCTAATAGTGTTTGCTGTGAAGCAAGATGAGCTATAAGAGTGTTTGCAACAGCTTTGAAAAACGTTTTTATAATTTTCTTTAAAACAGCTAAAAGCAGTATTTTCAAACAGGTTTTTGTGTTTAAACTTAAGCAGTTTAAAGCTAAAAGCTGTAAAAGCAGGAGGGATGCTTAAAACTGCTTTTCACTTTTTCTTGTATACAAAAAAGTTCTTTTTCATCAAACACTCTTGGTTTTACATTTTTTAAATGTCTTTTTCTTCAGATATTATCAATTTTTACTATTAATCACTTTTCATATGATCTCTATAGTAAATCACTTTTAAAAAGTAGAATCAACCACAAGCACTCCTTATGCCTTGTTTTGAAAAATAAACTGTTTCACTCACATAGAAAAACAACGATTTCTCATTTTTTCACTTTTCTTTGAGAGTTGATATATGCTTGCCTACCCTGTTCCGTAGAGGATCCAATCGCAAAGCCGGTAGCGACATCTCCTTCCAGGGATTTCCCTGAAAACCATGGTGCCACCATGTCACAAAGTGAACTCCTTTCAGAAGGCAACAAGGTATTGTAGGTTTTGCCTCTGTTATTTGTCTTCTTAAATTGCCTTGTTTACACTCAATGAAACCTCAAAATATTCCCTTAGCTGGGTTTTTTTATTTAAAAAATTTCAACTTCCCTTCAAAACCAAGACCGAAATGTCTTCATATTGCAAGCAAACCATTTCTTTTCTCTGTCAGAGTATGCTAACTTTTGTGTGATGTTACTTAAACCTTTTTCATGCAAAATATTTAAATTACATAGATCCTCCAGAATGATTTTCGGGATAGGTTTAGAATTTTATAAAAGACAGGTTCTGTTTTGTCTCCCATGGAGATGTATGTAAACGGGGACTTTAAGTACAGAATGATATTTTGTGTTTGAATTTTAACTTTTACAGGAAAGCCATATAGAAGGATCTCCTATCTTAGAATTGCAAAAAAGGCTACAACTTTCTGTTTCACTTTCAAATCCGAAGTCAACTATGCATGAGACAGAGGATAGGGAATTTATTGAACTAGCATCTCAGTTGGTTGGAGGGGCTCTTGATGGAAAACAGGTGCAACTACTTGGTTTGATGATCATGATTTTCCACATGAAAACTGTTAGAATATACATATTTAATAGTCAATATATTCTATGTATATATATGGTAGCTAATATATTCTCTGCGATAGACTAAATATTCTAGGTAAATCTGACAGATTTAGTTTCCTTTTTGTATTCCCTAGCTTGTATGTATTTATACTGGCCATACCTAATGATAATGTAGAGTGATTTCATTGCATCTTTAATTCTTATTACTCAGTTTACATGGTATTAGAGCCACACAGGTTCTTCGGGTAGTACTTCCCGAAGTTCAACTCTGCTCCCTCCCTCTGGTTCGATTCAGCTCTCTTTTGTGCGGCACAGGACGTTGTTCGCAGGCGCAGGCGTGGTAATCCGGATAGTGCAGAACAATTGTCGCAGGTCTGATTTTCTGGACACTATCTTTACTAGTTGCACCAGTTCTCTTACCCTGTTCTTGTTATCACTCTTGCCCTAGTTGTTTGCAAGCATGGGTGATGATAAGAAGAGTGTGACTGAGATTACTGTCGGTAATTACAATTACCGAGAGAAAACTGACTTGTAGTAAAGATTACGGGCAGTGGAAACGGACTATTACTAGATACGTTAATAGTCTTGATCTGGGAGATCATCTAACTGAAATGGCTCCTCCAAGAAGTAATCCTGATGAAAGAAAAAAATGGATGATGGCGGATGATAGGTTGTTCAATCAAATTCAGAATACCCTGGATCCTTCTATTGATAGTATCATTACTCATTGTGATACTGTCAAAGAAATGTGGGAATACTTGGAGTCTATGTATGCCAGTAAACAAGATCTCTCTTATGTTCATCAATTACTGGTGCACTACTATAGACCGGAGATGAGGGATCAGACGCTGTTTCAATACTATAATGAATGTAAACAGATTTTTGAGGAAAAGCGGTCCCGATTCCCTATTACTGCTGATGTTAAGAGTATGCAAGAACAAGAGGAGCGAACATTTGTTCATGGTGTTTTGGCTGGGCTTGGTCCACAATATGAGGTATCAAGGAGTCAAATACTGTCTGGTGGGACCCTTCATAGTTTTTCTGACCTCTATGGACGTCTCCTTCCAGTGTGCAAAGATGGAGAATCCAGAATGATGAACTCAATTGATACTGCTGCCTTAGTCAGTGATGTGAGCCATGGTAAAAGGACCAATTCAGTCACTACTGAAGGGACTCGTAATTCTTCTCGCACATGTTATCACTGTGGAGCTGAGGGTCATGTGAAGAAGAATTGCTGGAAATTACATGGTCGTCCACCACAGACTTCTGGACAGTTTCCTCCCAGGCGTGTTGCTAATACGGTTATCCAGGATGGTATCCTACCAACTCCTTCCACTGTTACTATCTCAGTCGATGAATATGCTCGGCTACAACAACTTTCTCTCACAGCCTCATCTGCCAATGATACTATCTCACAGACGACCAATTCAGCCTCATATGCTCGTCTTCCACTGTTACTATCTCACTGTCAAAATGAATCCTGATGGTTCGGTTGCTCGTTTAAAGGCACAGTTAGTAGCTAAGGGTTATGCTCAAGCATATGGTATAGATTACTTTGACACCTTCTCTCCTGTTGCCAAACTTACATCCATTCGATTGTTTATCTCTTTGGCTGCTACTTACAATTGGACACTCCATCAACTTGATATTAAAAATGCCTTTTTGAATAGTGACCTTAGCGAGGAAGTGTACATGGAGCAACCACCAGGGTTTCTTGCTCAGGGGGAGTCTGGAAAGGTATGTAAATTAAGGAAATCGTTGTATGGTCTGAAACAATCCCCACGAGCTTGGTTTGGCCGTTTCAGTGCTGCAATATTTAAATTTGGCCTACGCAGGAGTGCCTATGATCACTCAGTTTTCTTCTCTACCTCAAATTCTGGATGCATTCTATTAGTTGTATATGTTGATGACATCGTGATCACTGGCAGTGATGCGAGTCGTATTTTGAAACTGAAAGCTTTCCTTTCTACTTGCTTTCAGACCAAAGATCTTGGGCCCTTGAAGTACTTCTTAGGGATAGAAGTCTCACGTAGTAACAAGGGAATTTACTTGTCTCAAAGAAAATACTGCCTAGATGTGCTAAATGATGCAGGTTTGGTTGAGGCAAAACCGTGTGATGCTCCAATGATCCCAAATGTAAAGTTAACAGCTGATGAAGGCGACTTGCTGGAAAATCCTGAGGTATACCGAAGGATTGTTGGGAAACTGAATTATTTGACTATCACCCGGCCTGATATTGCTTTCCCGGTTAGTGTGGTCAGTCAGTTTCTATCCACTCCACGAACATCACACTGGGATGCAGTTACTCATATCCTAAGATACTTGAAGGGGGCTCCAGGGCGTGGGATACTATATCAAAACCACGGACATCATGTTATTGAAGGGTTTACTGATGCGGATTATGCTGGAAACCCTAATGACCGACATTCCACCACTGGTTACTGTGTCTTTGTTGGAGGAAACCTTGTATCTTGGAAAAGTAAGAAGCAAAATGTTGTTTCTAGATCAAGTGCAGAATCTGAATATCGAGCTATGGCACAGACTACATGTGAGCTGGTTTGGCTTCAGCATTTGCTTGGTGAACTTGGATTTACTCAAACAGAACCCATGAGATTATGGTGTGATAATCAAGCGGCTATCCATATAGCAAATAATCCTGTTTTTCATGAAAGAACAAAACACATCGAAGTTGATTGTCACTTTACTCGAGAAAAGGTAGAAGATGGTACAATTTGCACTTCACACATCAAAACAGGAAACCAACTGGCAGATGTGTTCACCAAGGCTCTACCGGGGACACGTATCAATTTCATCTGTACCAAGCTGGGCATGATTAATATCTATGCTCCAGCTTGAGGGGGAGTGTTAGAATATACATATTTAATAGTCAATATATTCTATGTATATATATGGTAGCTAATATATTCTCTGCGATAGACTAAATATTCTAGGTAAATCTGACAGATTTAGTTTCCTTTTTGTATTCCCTAGCTTGTATGTATTTATACTGGCCATACCTAATGATAATGTAGAGTGATTCATTGCATCTTTAATTCTTATTACTCAGTTTACAAAAACAATGTTCAATTGGTTTCTCTTTCATCATCTTCTCTGCTTATTAAGGCTACGCAAGTACTTCGTGAGCGCTGGAGGAATGTTTTGCCAAAATCAGTACAGTTGAAGGAACTTGGCCCACTGCTTAGAGATTATCAACGTTTGGTTGCCCTAAATAAAAAGTAAGAGAAAACTCTTTTGCTCTTCCTAAACAAAATATTATGTTTAACAATCTGTTTGGATGGAGTGTTTTGGAGGGATTCATCTATATCTTAGTGTATATGTGTGTTTTTCTCAAAAGAATGAAATATTAACATAATGTGTGGTCGTATACATTTTTCATCACCTTTTATTCACTTGTAGAAACATACTGCTTGTATTTTATCAAGAAATTGCTTAAGCCTTCCAAAGTCTTCCATTTAAACATAAACTAGGGATTCATGTGCTTTGTCCGTGAGAACAACCTAGGTGCACCGGGAATTAAACTACAGTCAGTTCTTATAATTGCTTTATGTATGGGATTGTTTTGTTGAAGTATTTTTATGGAAGGGGAGTATTGATTTTTATTTCACTATTTTTTCCCTTTTGCGAGTCTTAGACTATAAAACAACTGCGTGGTATATATGTTGTAGTTAAATAGTGTAAAAAAGGCAGCCCGGCGCATGAAGGCATCCCCTTAAGGCGTGGGTTCAGGTAAGGGTCCCACCACAAGGATGTATAAGAGGCAAGCCTTCCCAGGCCCCTCCCAAGAACTGAATTCGTGATTTCTCGGCACACAGCAACACCTTAACCGGTGCACCAAGGCTAATTGTGTATTTCTATATAATTTTTCATCTTAACTCTCTCTCCAGCTGTCTGAATATGTATGAGAATAAATTAATACTACCTCCAATCCCCCCTTACCCCACAAAATTTAACAAACATGGGCTGATAGATAATAGCACTGCTTTGTGCTTCCAGCATAATATTTACATGAGAACATTTAATTTCTAATATGAGCAGTATTTGTTTGCAAGGAAAATAAAACAAAACATCTATTGCTTTTCACATCTGCATACTTCCATAGCCATAAACCTTGGTCTTCATTACTGTGTGTGTTTGTAGCCCGAAAATTAGTGATGTATTGATCCTACTTGAGCTGTTTTTTATTATGCAGAGAAAGTGTTGAATCTTTTTTACAGTCGCTGGATCCTGGCTTTCTCGGAAAACAGATCTATCGATTTTATCATATCAGAAATGTTCACCAGGTAAACATTTTTGGGGGGCTTCCATATCGGTTCTTTTTCAACTCTCTTCTCATAGTGTTTTTTTTTTAATGAATTTCAGTTGCGGATGGATGACGTCCCACATTTGCTGGAAGAATACAGACAACTTTCCAATAGCGGACAGTGAATGAATGCATATACTCGCATAGTATGATTAGTATCACATTTACTCCACATTTAAAAGAATAATAAAAACATGTGATGGGTTAGCCTTTATGTTCAAAAAGCACAACTATTTGTAATTTCATATAGAAATTATGGGCAACGAGTGTCTAAGGTTTTGTTACTCAAGTGTGAAACCTTAAACTTCTTGCTGTCTAAGGTTTTGTTTTGGGATTGCTGACAAAATTAGTTTTTACTGATACATGTACAATCAGTAGTAATTTAAAAAAAAAGAATAATAAACTTCATTCTTTAATTCCTTGCTTGTTCAAATATAAACTCATTTTTCCTTTTGGGACAAAGAACCCGTACTTCACATTATTTTTTTTCTCCTCTATACCATTTTTAGTCATACTATTTCCATTTGTCAATTTCTGTTTAATGTCAAAACTGAAGTTTTATATGATAAGTCCAAGACCAAGGAGAAAGACTAGTGATTGGAATTTTTAACTAAAGATAAGTGTTAATTTCAACCATCTATATATATAATTATTTTAATTTATTGATAAGATATATATGGGACCATGGGAGGGTTCAAATAAAAAAAGTCTCAACATCTAAACTAAGAATTAATTTCAGCCGTTCAAACTGTCAATTTAATAATCCTTACCTAATTGACTTTTCGAATAAACCTTCTCATGCACTTTTCAAACATCTTGATGCAGTGACATTTTTGTAAATATTAGAAAAGTGCATTATATATAGAGGGGGGAGAAATGCTCCTGTCCAGCAGTTCGGACAGGAGCCGTCGTTCGAACACCGGCGTTTGAGCCTTTGAGGCGGTTCTCGGTAGAATTTTTCGATGATTTTTTTGAGCATGTTCCTAATGAAGTCTAGTTTATCCACAAAATATTTTAAAATTCCATGTTCCTCATGGAGTCATGGAATTTTTTCAGCTCAAAATTTGACCGAGAAGGCAGTCAAATAATTTTTTGAAGTTGACTGTGTTTTTCTATGAATAATTTGGCGCAGTCAAATTCACAAAATTATTTGTCTGTCTTTCCGATCGAATTTTTAGCTGAATTTTTGTGTGGATAAACTAGACTTCATGAGGAACATGCTCTAAAACGGCGGTGTTCAGACGGCGATTCTTGTCCAAATTGCTGGACAGGAGCACTTCTCTCTCTCTCTATAATATATATCAGTCCTTTCCGATAAGAAAGGACTAGAATAGAAATGAGAATGCATCTGGACCGTTGGATTGTATTATGTGAAACTGAATTGTGCATTTGGTGAAACTGAAATGTGCATTAGATGATATTGAAATGTGCATAGTAAAAATTTAAACTCAAGTGTGCATTAGGTAAAACTAAAATGTGCAGAATAAAAGGTACAAAAATAACATCATATCGTACATTTTATTCTGCTCATTTCAGTTTCACCTAGTGCACATTTCAATTTCACATGATGCATAATTCAGCTTAACATAATAACACTGTATTGTACCCTTTGTGCTGCAAAATTCAATTTCACTTAATGCACATTAGAGTTTGATCTAATGCACATTGAATTTCACTTAGACCAAATCTAACGATCCCGATTCATTCTCATTTGTCTCCTGATCATGTTCTTATTTGTACGAAAACCTATATATATGTGAAGGATGAAATACAACGTGCTCTTGATTTATAAAATATAAGGTTTTGACCTGAATATTACTAATAATAGATAATAGACAAAAAGTGATTCTTTTTAAAAAATTCAAAAAATGTGACTAAGAAGTTCTAAACTTTCTAAATTACCCATATTGTCCAGTTACTTATATCTAATAATGACATGACTGATCACAGTGGCACCGACGTAGTGACATATGCCCAAGTGGCGGGCCGCCGTTGATCACCGTCACTTGTGACCACCGCACCGCCGGTCACCGTCAATGATCACGAAACTGGTTGTCTAGTAAGCACCAGCCGTAGCTGAAAAAAAACCTCAACCCCAACCCTAGCCACTGGCATAATCAATGCCTAGACCCAATCCAGGCACTGCCACAACTCCCAACCAACCCTAGCCGCCACAACATTTTGGATCGACATCACAGAACGACGACGAAGCCGTGATTGAAAACTGTCACAATCGATCAAAGTCTTCAGTGGAGTGTTGTCATCTTCCAACGACACGAGGCAGAAAGAGATGAAAAAGAAGGTTGGCGACGGACTTCGGTGACGGCGATGTGCTTCGACATCCATTGCGACCTCGCAGAGTGACTCGAGAACGGATCGACTCGACCTAGAGGAGGAACAACTGTGATCTCGAAGACTGACGATGATGGCAAAGCTTGAAGATGGATGATCAGATCCAGATCAATCGCCGCCTGCTCTCCAAACCGATGACCAATCACCCACATTGAAGCGATAGAAGAGACACAAAGGATGAGAAGGATTTAGGGTTTCAGGGATATTTTGGAGGTTTGAAAAGTAATCATTTTTTTGTATCACAATGCTATAACTAATGTTTGTGTCCTTATTCTTAAAATATAAACTAATCTCGACCAACCATTTGAAAGATCTAATATCTTAATTAAGAGGCACAATAGGATTTTGGTAATACACCCAATTCCAAACCTTTTAATATGCAACACTTTGAATCTTAATATGAAACTAGTTATTTTATCATTGAATAATATGCAACACTTTGAACATTAGTATGCAATAGAAATAGCGTAAAGATGCATTGTACAATTTTTTGCACGATAAGACCACTTCGTACCAGATCTGTCCCCTAGTTTAGATCAAATAAAAAAAGTCCTAACGTGTAAAATGAGAATTAATTTTAACCATTCAAGGAGTCAATATGGTGCACAATGAAGCTTATCTAATGAAGCTTATCTGACGCATTTTTTCAATACTTAACAAAAATGCCACTACATCTAGATGTCGGAAAAGTGCACCAGATAAGGTTTATTTTAAAATTACATTAGATCGGAATTATTTTACATCAGATTGACAGTTTGTACGACTGAGATTAATTCTTATTGATGGAGTATATGGGTCTGAGCCCCCGGACCCACATACTCAGAAGAACAGAAAGCACAAGACACTGAGTGGTGCCCTCGTCGGCCAAGGTACCCCCGTCGGCCGAGAAGGTACCAACTCAGAATATGGTCCTGAAGCCAAGGAACCCGGGTGCCCTCGTCGGCCGTGCCCTCGTCGGCCACGCCCTCGTCGGCCACGAAGACCTCACAGAACCGGATTTTACACTTACTCATTTGTACAGCCCATTAGTGGCTTTGTATTCGGCCCAGTAGCGGTCCAGTTGTAAATGGGCCTCCCAAGCCCAAGGCTTGGGAGTATTTATAGGGGGTTACAAATTCATTCTATTGAAGCATATTATTGCACTTCTCTCTCTAGCTCTCACTTCTCTCTAGATATACTCTATCATTTGGTGCTCTCGTTGAGAGCTAGAACAATCAAGTTAGCACCCTTCGTCGCTACCAAGCACAGCTAACCACTGATCATGGGGAGAACTAAATCAAACCGCAACCTCGTCAGCAAGGCCATCCCTGAGGACCAGGAGACCAGGGAGCACGAGGAGGATGCTACGACTGACCAGGTCGGCGGAGGGGACGTCTTCCAGGAGGCCTTCAACCTCACGACGGACCTCCGCAACCAACTCAACGGCGGAGCCCCTGATGCCCGCATCGGCTTGGACAAGAAACGAGCTGAGAAGACGGACCACGCCCCGGCCCAGCCTATGGCCGCGGCCTCTCCGTCCGTGGATCCACAGGTCCAGGCCGCGATGTCGGTCATCATCGCCAGCCTGGCCCAGAACCCCACCGTCCTCAGTGCACTCTTGCCAAGGACCGGGGGGAATGTCACTCCACCACCTCAGCCCCAACCGTTGGCCGTCCAGATAGGCAACGATGAGGGGGTGATGGCCCAGGATACGGCGTCGTCCCACTCCCACCCCGCTTCCTCTCTTCGGCCTGGGTAGACCCCAGCGCGTGGAAAAGCCTCTGCCTTCAACAGGCTAGGTGTCACGCGCCGTCGTCCGGTTTCGGAGAGGATGGCAGGACGGATTGGTGAGCGTCGGCCTGGATCGCCAAGGGAAAGCTTGGGGTCTGTGTCCCAGACAGCGGACCAGCCCCGCCCGGACAAGGGCAAGGGGAAGCTGCACGAGGACGACGTGCGCCACCAGATCAATGCGGCTCACGACGAGTGCATGAGGAACCAGCCGAGCGCCGCTGCGGCCGCCAGGGACCCCCGGGACGAGGTCATCGCCCAAGTGGAAAGGAGGCTGGCTGAGATGGAGGCCAAGCAGTCGGCCAACATCCCTACGGCCGGCGCCTCCAACGACCCCGGCCTCAACGCGCTCATGAACAAAGTCAGCGCCCTGGAGAGGGAGTTGGCCGAGGGGCGAGGTGACCCCATCATCCAGGTCAGGACCAGGACCCCTTTCACCAACAGGGTCCTCTCGGCTCCTATCCCGGAGAAGTACAGGGGAAACGCCATCAAGACCTACGACGGCCGATCAGACCCCCAAGAACACTTCAGCCGTTATCAGAACAACATGCTGATGGTGAACGCGTCAGACGAATACCTCTGCCGTTGGTTCCTCTCTACTCTCGAGGGGCCAGCGTACGAGTGGTTCAACGCGCTCCCCGAAGGGAGCATCGACTCATGGCAGGATCTTGCCCAACGCTTCCTCACCCACTTTGCCGGGAGGAAGCATGCGAAGAAGTATTTCACCCACCTCCTATCCGTCAAACAGCAACATGATGAGTCCCTCCGGTCGTTCATTGATCGGTGGACGAGGGAGACCGAAGAAGTCGAGGGGGACGATGAGCGCACCCTCCTCGCCCTGTACCAGGGAGCCCTCCGCAGCTCCCCGTACGCTAGGAGCCTCATCACCGACCCTCCGAGGTCGTACGCCAAGGCGCTCCAGCGCGGAGGCTTGTACGCCGACGCCGACGAGCTCCACAATCACAAGAAAGAGGGGGCCATCCCTCCAAGAAGACAAATCCTTCGCCGGCCCCGGGTCCGTCCCCGGCCGGCCAGGGTGCCCAGGGCCGTCACGGCTCTGGTGGACAGAGTAAGAAAGATCGCCACTGGCGGCTGAGGTTGGAACGGCCGGGGGTTGCTCTCACTCACCCGGTCGGCATCATCCTCGACTATGCCGAGAAGCATGGCCTCATCGAGCAGGCTCCTCGGCCGGCCGAGGAGGTCCTTGCCATCCAGCAGGGCGGCACATACTGCCGGTTCCACAAGAACTCATCGCACAACACCGACGACTGCATCACGCTGAAGAAGGCCA